GGAGGGGGAGGAGGGGAGGAGTAATTATTCCTACTGTTTGGCGGTATGAGTGATTGGGTCTGTTACCAACTCAGTTGGTACACTTAGTGGCTTAACAGAAGGTGACATTCTGGGTGGACTATCAAGCTCAATTATAATTTCTCTCGATGAGGTTGTAATCTTAGGTATATGCCTTGATTGACTAGATAACTAGTGAAGAGTAAATTTCGGCACACTCATAGCCAATAGCAAACATTTCTGAAATCGGTTTTAATTGGATATTTCGATTGTTTCTAACAGAGCAGATATATTTTCAAGAGAGGAGGGTGCGCCAGGAACTGATGTCCAAATGTTATTCATTCAATCGTCATTTGAAATTAATTAGTAAAAAGTTAGGTTTATTGAAATATCAATGGGACTTTCGAGTTTTATTTACTTTCAATGTCTGAGAGCTGACTTTTCTCGAAATTGCGTATTTTAACTTATGGATTCATTTCTCAATCAGTGTATAGAAGGGGGCAGGCATGTTTACCCAACCGGCTTTATTGTTTGCTTTTTACAAATATGTAATAAATAAGTTGCTCTTAAAGATTATTTTATCTTCTTAAAAATTTCTAAAGTGAATCTAGTGCTATTAAGCAGTACGTCGACGAGAATAGAACATTTCGATTCTAAATTTGATATGGGACTTTTCATAGTGCCATTTTATACTTTCGTTCTAAGTGGGATAAGGTACAGTTACCGCGGTGATAAATAATTAAGTGAATTGAATAGCCTTGAAGCTTAGCTCAAACCCACTAAGCCTTCCGAACACTACCTCTAGGATATAGATTGCCCAACTCAGGTTATTACCGAGTGGAGACATTTATAACAACTGGCAGGCTTCATGATAGTTATCATTATTCACCTCCGGGATTCGCAGAGGGGAGGAACATCAAAGACGCATAAAAGTGATTCACAGATGTAAATAAGGCGGACAAAAAGGTGGAGATAAAGTGTGGTGAGTACTGTGAAAGGGTCGAATATAACATACAGTGGGGGTGATGGTAGTTAGAAGTCAGAAGTCAACTGCCGGTTTATAGACATTTTTGCCGTATGCTTATACGTTAGCCAGGGTGTACCACGTGGTGGTAAGTCTATCACACTCCCCACGACCTTCAATAATTGTGTTCAACAAGTGTTGTTTTAATCATGATTCAATCTCCTGAATAACCATAATGCAGTCGTCTGTTCGCAGCCAATGATCTTAGCTCACACAGTTTCTCAAGCTCATTGAAGTGAATATTATTTGGAATCTGCAGTGTAATTAAACATAATAAATAGAGTTTCTGGACAGATTTTAATGTTTTAATGAAGTGAAATTCGATCAACGATATCTTGGCCCAAAATGTACTTATTTTGGAATAATGCAAATAAAGAACGAATACATACTCGAGGTTAGACTGATCGGGGGGAATATCGGTACAAAATAGGAAAAAATGTGATGATTGGATCAATGAAAAATTTACAATTTCGACAACTTTTAATTCTCGAAATATTTTTGATGCGTTTGTGGGACACGTCATTGCATGCATGCACGCCAGGATTGGAAGGTGGGGCCGTACAAATCTGTGTGCAGCGACCGTACAAACAGTGACCAATCATCAACCTCTGTTTAACCTAATCCCCCATCCTGATCATGAGTAGCTTCCTGCGTGTACACTTGATCCGCAATATACTTCCTGAATTAACGTGCTCCTTGCTACACGTCTGTTTCCTTTCATAGCTGGGCTATAGCTTAGCTGGTTCTGGGAGTCTAGCTAGAAGTAGAGAATCTGCCATAGAGATTTCTGAGTCAGTCAGGCTTTACTAAGGTAGCATTCAGCTACACGTTAGAGAAGAGTAAATCCGATTTCTAAATAGGAAATCTATTTATTGGTTAAAGACCTACTTTAATGAAGATAGGAGTATTTGCACTTAAGATTCAATTTTTGTGCAACGAGGTGAAATGAAACAATTTTTTCGAATATGGTAAAGTAAGTATGGCAATAACATGAATTTTATTCGAGTAGATTAACTTAAACAAGTGCTTTCATTTATTTTATCCTGGGAAAGAAGTCAAAAAGTGCTTAATGTACTAAACAGGTACAGGAAATAGAAATTTGCATTTCCTTTCTCAAATGCCCATTGGATTTGTTCCCCCCCCCC